GTTGATCAGAAATTATTTAGCTTTAAAGTTTTTAAAAAATACACTCTACTTATAAATTCCAAAAATCGGCCGATATGGTTATTTTATTATTCGTTTAGAACCATCGAAAAAAGTGAGATTTTAATTTAAAGGTAATTTGGCGCATCGGTTTTATTAGAATATCACAATACATAGATATGTGTGTATATCAATTTTCTATAGCAAATAAACATTATATACAAAACTAGCAGGATTTTATAAATCGCATTTTAGCCACTAAGTAAAATTATTAGAAATGCTGTTTTTTAGATATCTACAAAGTTTGATATGATTTGATTAAGTTTTCATGAATCGATTTTCATATTATACGTTTGGCGCAAAAAATAAATTTTCTGTTCCATGTATAATGTGAAATCGACTAATGAAAAGTTAATTAAATTGTATCAAATTTTAAAAATAACTAAAAAATGTCATTTCCAATAACTTTATTTAGTAGATAAAATTTGACTTACTTGTTAGAAATCATGTTTTCATGAGTTATTTTTAGTGCGCTACATTATCCTCTTGCGCCATTACACCTCCGGTTACTTTATATAAATATTAGCTAAAGTTTCAAATCGACCTATTATATATATAAAAAATAAAACCTGAATTTGGCTGCTAAAAATTTTTATTTGCTGTGACTAGATTGTCCACACTGTATAATATCTGCAAAACCTCAAACACATGTTCAACTTACTCCAAAGACAACCCAAAACGACATCAATAGGACCAAAGAAAACTGCACCATCCACAATATTGTTTTCAAAGCAGCACCAACAAAGCAACAATGAAATTATATTCAAGACAGCGCCAACAAAACAACAACAAAATTGTACTCTAGACAAAGCAATGCAACAAATAATACCTAAGACAAAGTGAAATCTATGTAATTAACAATAAAAAGCAAACCTAAAATGCACAAGACCACTTATCCAAAAAGAAATATTGACAATCCAACAACAACTCAATAACGACGCCAACAATGGCTTCAGAAACTAAAAAAAATGCATTAAAAAAACATAAAAAAAATGCAAAAAAAAAAAGAATATACATAAAGAATTCAAGACAAAAAAACATTACTAAATATTAAAAAAAAAGAAAAAAAAACTTCTGAACCTAGCGACAGGACGAAATCACAAAAAATACTCTAAACCGTGAAAGAACAAAATCACTTCTAAATCTGACAAAAAAATCCAAGACCTGTGAAAAGAGAAAAATATGTTAGTAAATATCTAAAAAAAAAAAAAAAAAAAAAGTGAGAAAAGATAAAACTCACTGGAGATGCTTTGCTAGTGATTTGTTCGATCGAAATTTCTTTCATAATAACTCCAAGACTGTAATGTCTAATGCTTGAATGCATGGTTAATCCATTAAAATCTCAGGTGCTATGATTTCACATCTCAGAAACCTACGAACCTAAAAAAGCTAAGTAAATACAAAAATAACAAAAAAAAAAAAAAAAAGAAAACAAAAAACTAATCACTATGCGACGGGTCTCTATTTTTGCTTTGATTTTAAACCCTTTTCATACAATCATCAATCTTAATTGAATTGTTATGCCAGGATTTCATGTTTGACGCCAGTTTCACTAATATTATCTTTATTACGATATATATTTAATTTTTTTATATGCACCCAACTAGTTAATGCGAATAAATAAAAAAAATAATAAATATCAATAAATTAAATAATTGATTTTAAACACTAAATTAAACCAAATAAAATATCCTTGAAGAGCTTATACGTACCATAAAGCAAGCGGACACAACCAACATCACTATACTGTTTTTTTTTGACTTTAGAATTCTTCAGAACAAACTTATCTCTAAATATTAATACGTAATAGACAAATCTTAGGCGAAATATTAATAATAGAAAATAGGTGTTTGAAAATAACGATGTGATCAAATAGTATGTTATAATAATTCTGTAGTGCAACGATTCAAAATATTTATTTCTATAAAAGAGATCTACAAGAAAAAGAAAGATCTATATATATATAGAAAAAAAAAAGTAGAAAAAATCTATAAAAAAAAAGATCTATAAAGATGCTAATTTTCGTTTATTATTGTGCGCATTAAGAAAAAAAAATATAATTTAATACTGTATAAAGTTAAACTAAAAACGTGCGATCAAATAAATATCATCAGAGGAAAACTTGAATCTTGATTTCAAATTTTCACTTGATGATAATCAATAACTTACCATCATGAACATCTTTAAGCCATTTGATGAAGGAATCAATTTTTCTTGTTTCGCCTAACAAGTTTTTTTAGAACTCATATATACATTAAAAAAAAAATAAAATAAAATAAATAAAAAAATAAAAAACGTACTATGTCTACCAACAAAATAGTTGGTTGGTATAGGAAGGAGGAGAAAATTTTTTCCAAGAATCTCTATGATATTTGCGACCCTTTGATAACATGGTTTCGAATATTTAAGATATTGTTTTTCATTAGAGTTCTTATTGATTAAATAATTTCCAAGTAAAAAATATGCGGCCCGTTTTGAATTAACATCACCAATTGAACAACCATGTTTCTTTGCAACAGTAGCCGGTTTTTTCTTAGTCCAACTCGCTAAATTCTCAATATACTCTTTTTTGTCATTCGCATGGTTATATTTATTCTTTACATCTTCCCAATCAAATTTTTCTAAGTATTCTTCATCACGAATCTTTATGCACATGTTTACATCAACATCCGAAAAATCAGACATCCATTCATCTACTTCTATGTCATTATTATTTTTTTTTTTTAATTTAATTTGTAGCCCTGCAGTTTCTAATCCTTCTTCCTTTTTTTAAAAGCATAAAATTTAAACACTTAAATAAATA